ATAATGATAATGATAATAATAACGATTTATTGAAACATATCTACAGAGTAGCTCTACATCTTCAACAAACACAGCGAATCGAATTATGGCTACCAATTTGAATAACTGTTGTCCTGCGCAATGACTAGCAACTGACTAGCCACTTAAATTGTAAATTGTACAAGTTCTCTTTAAACTTTTAAGCTCAATTGTATAGTTTAATTTCCTTTAGTTGTTATTTTTAAACTTCAGTAGATTGATTTGAAGTCTGAATAAACGCCGAACTAAAAGCTGTCACAATTTATAAAGATATTGCCTTTTATTCCTTCCGTAAACTCCCAATAAAGTTATTATAATAATAATAGAGTTGGTGTTCTTGAGAGTAAATGAGTTTTGGTCCCTTGCAGTGGCTCATTTTAGCCCTCGCAAATTACATTTACGTTCTCGAACATCAACTCTATTTTTATATTGATATGGATTTATACAATATTCATTCAGGCAAACTATGATTAATTAAGATATCCAGACTGTCAATCAAAAGACTGGCTTACTTGTACTTACTTGTAATTGTCCACTTTACTGATACGGCAGTAATCTTAAAAGCGTATGTCTGTAAGAATCAAACAAACGGCGGAAAGGCTCAAACTGTCGAATGTGTAAGTTTTTAAGTTTGATTTAAGTAGTGTATGAGGCAAAACGAAACGCCATATTTTGATAGCTAGAATCGCCCCTGGAGCTCAAATTTCCTTTTCCTTTTTATTTTTCTCAAAAACAATAAAATATTTTAAAAACTAACCATTAATTGCTATCAACCCATTAGCTAAGGACAACCGCAATTGAACAATATAATTGATTGCTCGTGCAAGCCTTGTGGGCTCACGCGACCTTTGTACCCTCTATATTGTTAGCATAAATGAATCATTGTTTACTATTAACTTGACTCTAATGAGCTAATGGTTTATCATTAACTGTAATTTATATTCTATAAATTTGCTCACAGCGTTTCATTCTGCATCGTACACTACTTAAATTCAAAAGTAGAACAAATTCGAAAATTTGAGCCTTTTCGCAGATTTCAGATTTTGTTTGATTCTTACAGACATACGTTCTTAAATTATGGGATGCCCAGCTACAAACGTAGAATTATTTAAAAAGCATAGACTGGATGGCGAAGTTACTTTTTTATCAAATAATGTTACTCCAACTACCAGCAAATTCAATTATTTTTATATGTGTTTAACATTAGATAACGTAAAGTTATATTTAAAAAGCAAAAAGACAGCTGAGCCGTCTATAAATGAGTAAAATGTATATTGCATTCACACCTGTTGGGTTACTGAGTTCAGTAATTGCTTTCTCTGTCTTTTCCAGAAGTGGGATATCAAAATTATGCCCCCCAATAGTGTTGTCAAGGTCCATAATTTTCGCTATCATGTCGATGCGAGCTGCGCCCAAAACGAAAAAGGACTCAATTTCCGCTTTAAGACCGGCAACGTCACGAGGTTTAGTAGCCTCCTCCAGCAGGCATACCAGGTCAGCAGCAAACTGTTCTTTATTCATCTCTAGTTTGGCCTTAATGCCAACAAAATGGAACAAGAATATTTAAGAATGTGAAGAAAAAAAAAGAAAAAAAAAGAAGAAAATAATAATAATAATAATAATAAT